TAATGAGTTTTCTTCTTCAGCTAAATATAGCTGGTTATTCAATTTTAGCACAAGCTTAACTAGCATAGACCTCTCCAATAATCAGCTCGACGGTCAAATTGATGATCGATTTGGGAACTTGATGTATCTTGAACATCTTAATCTTGCAAATGAGCTTAATCTTAAAGGTGGGATTCCAAGTTCTTTTGGCAATTTGACACGTTTACGTTATCTGGACATGTCTAACACTCAAACATACCAATGGCTTCCTGAGTTGTTTCTCAGGTTATCAGGCAGTAGGAAAACACTTGAGGTTTTGGGGTTGAACGACAACTCAATGTTTGGTTCATTGGTTAATGTCACAAGATTTTCAGCCTTAAAGAGATTATACCTGCAGAACAATGTGCTGAATGGTTTTTTCATGGAAAGATTTGGACAAGTTTCGAGTCTTGAGTATCTAGACTTGTCTGATAACCAAATGAGAGGGCCATTACCAGATTTAGCATTGTTTCCATCATTGAGAGAGTTGCATCTTGGATCTAATCAATTTCAAGGGAGGATACCACAAGGTATTGGAAAACTATCACAGCTTAGAATTTTGGACGTCTCGTCCAATAGACTGGAAGGTTTACCAGAAAGTATGGGGCAACTATCAAACTTGGAAAGTTTTGATGCCTCTTACAATGTCCTGAAGGGTACAATCACTGAGTCCCACCTTTCAAACCTCTCCAGTTTAGTGGATTTGGACTTATCGTTCAATTCATTGGCTTTGAAGACGAGCTTCGATTGGCTTCCTCCTTTTCAGCTTCAAGTTATAAACCTTCCATCTTGCAATTTGGGACCTTCTTTCCCCAAGTGGCTTCAAAGTCAAAACAACTATACTGTTCTTGATATCTCTCTTGCAAATATTTCAGACACGCTACCAAGTTGGTTTTCAGGTTTACCTCCCGATCTAAAGATTTTGAATCTCTCCAACAACCAAATCAGTGGAAGAGTGTCTGACTTAATAGAGAATACATATGATTACATGGTTATAGATTTAAGCTCTAACAACTTTTCAGGACCTTTGCCATTAGTTCCTACCAATGTGCAAATATTTTACCTGCACAAAAATCAGTTTTTCGGATCCATCTCTTCCATTTGTAAAAGTAAAACAGCAGCCACTTCCCTTGACCTATCACACAATCAATTCTCAGGAGAGCTTCCTGATTGTTGGATGAATGTGACTAATCTAGCTGTTCTTAATCTAGCCTATAACAATTTCTCTGGAAAACTTCCACAGTCATTAGGCTCCTTGACAAATTTAAAGGCGTTATACATGCGCCAGAACAGTTTTAGTGGAATGTTGCCTTCTTTTTCACAATGTCAGTCGTTGCAAATCTTGGATCTTGGAGGGAATAAGCTGACAGGAAGAATCCCAGCATGGATAGGGACTGACCTACTCAACTTGCGCATTCTAAGCCTGCGGTTCAACAAATTCTATGGTAGCATTCCATCGATCATTTGTCAGCTTCAGTTTCTTCAGATACTGGACCTTTCAACAAATGGATTATCTGGGAAAATTCCACAATGCTTCAATAATTTTACCTTACTGCATCAAGAAAATGGTTTGGGTGAGCCAATGGAATTTGAAGTTCGAGGTTTCTATGGCAAATATTCTCGACATTTCTCGTACCTAAGCAATTTATTGGTTCAATGGAAAAACCAGGAGGCTGAGTACAAGAATCCTTTAATATATCTGAAGACTATTGATCTTTCAAGTAACAAATTGGTTGGAGGTATCCCTAAAGAAATAGCTGAAATGAGAGGATTGAAATCTTTGAACCTTTCAAGAAATGATCTGAATGGAAGTATCATTGAAGGAATAGGTCAAATGAAGATGTTGGAGTCACTTGACATGTCAAGAAACCAGCTTTCTGGAATGATACCTAAGGGCCTTGCTAACTTGACTTTTATTGGTGTGTTGGACTTGTCAAACAATCACTTATCAGGGAGAATTCCATCAAGCACTCAACTCCAAACTTTTGAGACATCATCCTACAGTGGTAACGCTCAACTCTGCGGTCCTCCTCTTCAAGAATGTCCCGGATATGCTCCTCCTAGTCCCCATATTGATCATAGCAGCAACATGAATCCTCAAGAACATGGTGAGGATGCGGAGTTTCCATCTCGGGAGTTTTATATATCAATGGTGTTTGGTTTCTTTCTTGCATTTTGGGGAATCTTGGGCTGTTTAATTGTCAACCCTTCTTGGAGGAATGCCTATTTCACATTCTTAGCGGACATGATGAGTTGGCTCGATATGATATCAAGAGTCTGTTGTTCAAGGCTGAAGAGAAAGCTGAGGGCCTGATAACTGTAAAGTTTCTATGTACTTGTTTACTTTCAAGAGGTAACTTGTTTTCTGTATTTTTTTTCCTCCATTTCCTACTCTTGTTGTGGTTTTGAAGCTACCCATCTCTTGAAATTTGTGAATGTTGATTAGAATAATGTTAATGATAGAATTTTGCAACACANTACTTTCAAGACGTAACTTGTTTTCTGTATTTTTTTCCTCCATTTCCTACTCTTGTTGTGGTTTTGAAGCTACCCAAATCTTGAAATTTGTGAATGTTGATTAGAATAATGTTAATGATAGAATTTTACAAGACAATTTTGGGTGTTTTTGAACGGAAACAGAAGTGATCCTTGATACAGACGACAAAGTCATAACGTCCCAAAGGAATCAAAATGTACCAAAGTTTTGCCAGTGAAAAATGTTCCCTTTGATAGTTGTTATTTGGCACTGTCAGACGAACAACAAGAAAATTCTATCAGTTTTTACAAAATTTGTTGAATTAGTTCTTCATATAATACCTAAATTCTCAAAAGTCAGCTTGTAATTACTCAAAAGTTTAGAAAGGAACTGAAATGTATTAAACTTAAAAGTCAAGACCTTTTTTATTGATTGAAGCCCTAATTTATGGCATTTCCCAATTCTTTATCTTGTCCGCTAGTCTGCTAATATCTCCCAAAAGCAACAAATATTCAATTTTTTTTTACAAATACAAAGAGAACTCAATTCTCTTTCATAGCAGCACGTTCAAAGTTCAAATTGCAGGTTAATCATCCTTGTAGTTCCTTCATGTAGAAAACTTTATTCTTTTCGACTCAAGATACTTGTGCTTGTAAGTAGTGTATAATAGATTGTTTTGACTAGTTTTTTGTGGGATGGAGCACACACATATATATATATATATATATATATATATATGATTTCACATAATTATAGTTTTCTTCAATTCTTATACAATTTTACATGTTTATAAATATTTACTCTAATTATATTATTTTATAAAATATTAAAAATTAAATACTCATGGGTCTTACGCCCCGTGCCTCGGGGCTTATGCCTCGCTGAGGCATATGTAAAACGCCTCGCCTTACGCCCACGCCTTTTAAAACACTGGATGATACTTTACTTTTGTGTGAAGCTGAAAATGAACAGTTTCTATATCGCAGAGGGGTATTGTTGAGTTTTGAAGTTGTGACTGGCTTGAAAGTTAATTTAGGAAAAAGTAGTATATTCGGCATAAATGCAGAGCAAAGTGTTGAAGAAATTGCAGATATAATGGGATGTAAAGTGGAGAATCTCCCACTGTATATTTAGGCCGCCATTTACAATAACAATAACAAACCCAATATAATCTCACAAGGTGGAGCCTGGTGAGGATAGAGTATACGCACACCTTACCTCTACCTACCTTGCGAAGGTAGACAAACTGTTTTCGATAGATAACAAGTCGTAACAAGGAATGACTAGAGGATCTGGCAAGAGTTCTCAATAAATGTGCAGAAAAGTTGGTTTCACGGGAGAAACAGTATCTGTCCTTTGGGGGGCAGACTCACTCTTATTAATAGTGTAATAGATGGAGTTCCAACTTACTTGATGTCTTTATTTCTGATTGTGAGGTCTCAAAGCAGTGTTGGGATCTAATCGTGAATATTTGTCGAGTGTCCTGGGTAAATGCCTCACAGTATTAGGAGTTTGTTTGAGAGCTGGCAGAGCCAAAGAATAGCTAAAGGACAGCAGCAATTTTGGAGAACTATTCCGTTATGCATCTTTTGGACTGGAAAGAAATAAGAGATGCTTTGAAGGACAAAGAAGACATATCTCTAGGATTAAGAACAAATATCTACATAATTTGTATTTCTGGTGTAAGAGTACTATTTTGGAGAATGTAGATCAATATTTGGACTTTATTGAGATGCTTGGAAAGTTATTGTAACTGACTATTCCAGCCTTCTTTCATGAACTTTTGTCTACCATCTTGGTACTTTATCTAATGAAACCTTTACCTTATAAAAAAAAATGGAGTACGGAAATCTTAAATTGCAGATTTTAGGAAAACAGTAGGCACAAACAAACATCATATGTTCATATTCCAGTAATTCCAGTATCATATCATTCATGTTACAAAACTAGAAAGTGAGATTATAAAACCTGTCCTCGGATCCATAGAAACAAAACAGCATACGTGTTGATGCAAGTTGAAGATGCAAATTGAGGCAAATCTGACAGACGAAAGGAAAAACAGATTGAATAAGAAGCAAAAATCAATGTTCCTGACATTATTGCCTGTGAGGCAAGCCATAACAAGAAATAGATAGAATATGACAGTACATATAACTTAGCCACTACGTTCTTCTATATCCGCAACAGAAGATTACACTCCCTCAATATGAAGTCGAAAAGAAAAGGTTCCAAAAAAATGAACCAAGAACTCAAGATATAACAACAGAATAAACCGGTTGCAACATCAATCATCAACCTCTTCCCTGATTTCCCTTACAAGTTCTTCCTTGTACTCATCAAATGTACCAGGGAACTTTTCAACAGTTCCATTCTCAACTACCCAAATTTCACTTCTTTCTTCATCGTCACAAACCCTCGATATGAGCCTAGAGTCGTGACTGACTAACACAACTCCACCTGTGAATTCATCAAGTGCATCTGCCAAAGCATCAATACTCTGCATATCCAAATGGTTTGTTGGCTCATCCAATAGCAAGATGTGAGGCTTCGACATGGAAATAGAGGTGAACACAACTCTAGCTTTTTGTCCTCCAGACAGCTTTAAAATGGGGGTTAGATGGTTATGACTGGGAAGTCCAAATTTTCCCAGCTTTGCACGAACAGCTTCTTGCTTACTAGGTCCCTCCTGCTCTGGGTGAAGACGAAGAAGGTACTGTACTGGTGTTTCATCCATTGTGAGAAGATCAACAAAATGCTGTGAGTACCGTCCGATCCTCAACTTTTGACTCCTGCGGACTTCACCCTCTGAAGGAACTAAATCACCTGCAAGGAGGTTGAGCAAGGTCGATTTCCCTGCTCCATTGGGCCCAACTATAGCGACTCGGGTCCCCATATCAATTCCAACGTCAACATCAGAGAGCCTAAAGTCTGGTCGATTTGGGTAACTGAAGCTGACCTCAATTAGCTGAAGAAGTGGAGGCGTCAGTTCAGTAGGCTCGGGGAAGTGGAACTCAACGGTGTAGTCCCTCCACTTCTGAGGGGCTTCAGGTGGAGTTTCATCTTCATCAACCCTATCCTTGCCCTTTTTCTTTGATTCTTTGGCAGCTACAAATTTGGCTCGGTCTTTTACCTTCTCCTGTTGTGCTCGATTTCCAGATCTCTTGGCAGCTTTTAACTGCTTATCATAAATCTCAAACTTCTTGTTCATCTCTTTGCGACGTTGTTCATATCCACTTTCAAAACCATCAAAGTTACCCCGATAGAAGTGCAGTTTCATGTCATGGAGATGAATAATCTCATTGCAAACAGTGTTCAGAAAGTCTCGATCATGTGAAACAACAACCAGAGTTTTCTTCCATCTGCACAGGTACTCCTCTAACCATAGTACAGCCCGAAGGTCAAGATGATTAGTAGGTTCATCCAACAGCAATAGAGTAGGCTGAACAAAAAGAGCCCGTGCTAGAGAAATTCTCATCCTCCAACCACCACTAAAAGACCGGGTAGCACGAACCTGCATTTCCTTAGTGAAACCCAGTCCAGCAAGAATTTTCGATGCTTGGGCCTCAGCAGCATCTGATCCCATCAGCTGCAACTTTTCGTACAGTTCAGATAGTTTTTCTCCAACATCATCATCCCCATCAGCATCATCTTCATTCTCACCAACAGATGCAGCAGCATTCTGTAAAGATTCAGCCTCTTCTCGGAGCTTGATGAGTTCCTCGTTAGCTGAAACAACAGCTTCAAGGGCTGTCCTATCATCACCAACTATCTCTTGTTCAACCAAGAGTACATCAATGTTTTTTGGTACTGGAATCTTCCTCCAAGCAAGGAGCTTTAGTAGGGTGGACTTTCCCTTTCCATTGGGACCAACTAAACCATATCTCTTCCCATGAGATATCTTAACTGATGTGTTCTTTAAAAGTTCTTTTCCACGAGCTGCTACAGAGAAATTCTCTATAGTTATATCCTTGACATTTGCATCAGCGTCATCCTCACCTTCAAGAACAGACGCCCTGCTACCGATAACAACAGTAAAAGCATCATGATCATCTCTAAGTGCCTCCTTTTTGGCCACCTCAGCTGCCTGAAAAGCAAGCACGTCCTTCTTTTCGCGTTTCTTCAGCTCTTTATGACTTATGGAGGTATCAAGTGGACCTGTTTCATTCCTTCTATGCCTTCTAAGTTCTTCCTCTTCTTCAGGGAGATGCTCATCCTCCTCGTCATCAGAGGGAGGAAGGTCGATACCATCAGTGTAAGCTGACGCTTTTGGAGCTGCTTTAGGCTTGGGCTTACTAGCACCAGTGCCTGAAGATCCTTTGTTGGGCTTCTCAGGCTTCTGGTCCATGCTGGCAAGCATGGCAGAGACAGAAAGCTTCTCCTTTTTCCCTTCCTTGGAGCCATCTTTGCTGCTTCCCTTAGCCTTCCCGCTAAAACCAGCCTCATCTGTTTTTTTCTTCCCCATTGTATTTACAATCTGTTGTAACCAAAGAGAGTGATTAGAAAATGTGAATAAATAGATCGCCCATACACCAGTCAGCTCAGCCAACTGACTAAGAAACAAACACATCCAGAATAGTAATGAAGAAGCTTTGCACAAAAGACAGCACATTATTACAGAAATTAGCAAGAAATTGGAACAGTAGCATAAATAGAAAAGAAAGAAGCATAAAATCACATTGAAAGAAGAAAGAGACAGAATAGCAATAAGAAAATTTATCACTGGGTCGTATTTTAGTGAACCAGAAAAACAAAAAGCTTAAGGTTATCACAGACTCAAACACCGGAACATATGTTATAGGAAAAGAGAGAGCAACACAATGACATATCTAATCATTCCAAAAGCCAAAGGATTGTTTGGACACCATAGTAGCAAAACCAATTAATTAAATACTTTAGGATACATTTGTTTCCCACAGATTTGCACATTACGTTAACCAACAAAGAAGACCAGAAGGTTCTGGTATAATATTTCAATTATAGCCCTACCACATTCTCCTTAGTACATAAATAAAACAAATGTTGAGACCATTACAAATATTACTTTTGTTTACTCCGAGTTGAATCTCAGCTATATTAAGTCCAAAGGAATCTCAAAGATAATGTACGCTTTTTATCCTGAGAAGAAGAACCAAGGCTTC